TGGCCATGCCACAATCCCTTCTCCTCCACTCTCCTCTTGGGATCTTGGGCACGCACGCACACATGCCTGGCGTGAGTTTTAACCCACCAGGTCCGGGACGCAAACCGCGGTCAACTATGTGGGAGTCCAGCGACATAGCCATTACGCTAACTGCTGTTTCCCGACCTTGGCTCAGTTCTTATGCCATGGCAGCCCCACTGGTAGATGTGCCACGATCTGGAGTTGTTCAGGAAACCTTGAGGCGCCGCTCCTCCGTCCTGTAGACACCCATTGCTTAGAGTGCTGATCTCTACGCTGTGGATACCTTATAACTGTTATCGTCTGACCGGAAATACCACATTGTGTTCATTGCTTGGGGAGAGACTTGTTGGACAGGTTGCTGGATGACAAAGAAGAGAGGAGCGAAGAGTTAAACATCGAGACTTGCCCGGAACACCAAAGCTCCTCTGTAAAATGCTTCTTCATCCATTCCATACTTCAATTCCAAATTTTAAAGGTATATATATATATATATACTTTTAAAATTTTTGCAATAGAGTGCATGTGTTTGCTGGAGAGAGACAGAGAGAGAGAGAAGGAAAGTGAAAAATCACCCCCCAGAACGAATGGCCATGCCATATTCCTCTCTCCTCTTAGGATTTTGGGCACACACGCACATGCACCCAGCATGAGTTTCAAGCCCATAGGTCTGGGACTTGAACTGTGGCTGACCACGTGGGAGTTCAGCGCTTGAACCACCATGCCACCTGCAGCTCACTATATTTCTAATATAATCAGAATTGCCTGGTATTCGCTCAGAAACAGACTGGCAAGGTAATAGAGTAGATTCTGGAAACAGACCTGAGTCCACCTGAGAATTTCACAGTGATGTATCAGTACTTCAAATTAGGCGAGAACAAAGAAAAAGAAAATAGGTCCTTTGGCTGGTATTTTGGAACAAAGTAAGTTGTTCCAGATGAAATGAAGTTTTAAATATGAAAATATTTTAAGTAAATAACTAAGTGGAATAAATGAGGAGTAGAGAGACTTCCTAAATATGACATCCAGCTTGGAAGATTGATAATTTTGACCATATGGAAGTGAAAAAAATCTTTAATCAAAATGTCAATACATAAAATGAGCAAAGTGTTTTTTAGCACATTGGACAAAAGGCTAATTTCCTAATATGTAAGAAACTTACAAATCAATCACAAAATAGGAATCTTAAAACTGATGGGAAAATGAGTAAATGGTATGGATTGGTAGTTTCTTTAAAAAGACATACAAGGTTGGAACCAGCAAGTAGCATGGTAGTTGAGGTGCTGGACTCCCACATGGCCAACTGTGGTTCAAATCCCGGGCCTGGCAGCTTATTTTCTCTCTCTCTCTCTCTCTCTCTTTTTTCTCTCTCTCTCTCTCTCTCTCTCTCTCTCTCTCTGTTGCACACACGTGTCCCATAGCAAATTAAATAATAATAATAATAATAAAATTAAATTTAAAATTCTAGAAAAAAATAAATACAGAGGCCAGCAGGTGGCATGGTAGTTAAGGTGCTGGACTCCCACATGGCCAACTGTGGTTCAAGTCCCAAACCTGGCTTTCTCTTTCTTTGTCTCTCTCTGGTGAGTGCACGTGTCCTATAGCAAATTTAAAAATAATTAAAATAATAAATAAAAAAATAAAACTTCCTTTAAAATAAAAAAAGGCATCTTTATTTAAAGTACATTTTATTTAAAAAATTAAATGACTATTAAGTCAGCAACTAACTAGGATGGGCTTTGTTTCTGTAATTTTGGGGGTGCTTTTTAGAATTATTTATTTAATTATTACTGTCTCTTTCATTTTAAATGTTTATACTTTCATGCTCCCATTTAAAGCAACATTTTCTTTATTCTGTGCCTTGAATTAAAAATAAATAAATAAAAGAACCTCTTGCCACCAACTTAAACAGTTTGGGGAATTTTCTGTAGTGCAGTAACTCCTACAGTGCTTGGTAATTCATCTGACGTGACCATGGTTCATACCACACTGAAGCCTCTTCCAGATCTCCTAGAGAGACACTGCTGAGAGAGAATAGCCTGTTAGTTGATGAACTTTGTTTATGAATTTAGATTCTACAACAGAACGTTCAGTAAAGATGGTCGCTGACTTACAATGGTTCAATTTATGATCTTTCAACATCCCTGTAGTGTGGGAGCAATACGTATTCAGTAGAAACTGTAGTTCAAGTTGGAATTTTGATCTTTTCTGGGGCTAGCACTATGGGTAAGATACTCTCTCATGACAGGGAGCTGCACTTCCCAGTTAGCCACGTAATTACTAGGGAAAACACCCGGCACTCCGTAATGTCCTGTGTGCCAGCGTTTCTGTATATTCTGTTTTCCCATCGTGTCTGCAAAACTCGCATTTTTGACTTACTATATTTTCAACTTATGATGTGCTTATTGTAGTGTATTGTAACCCCATTATAAATTGAGGAGCATCCATAATTGAATTGATTGCTATAAGGCATCTCCACTATTAAAAATGTTCTTTGGGGGGCAGCAGGTGGTGTGGTGGTGAAGGCACTGGACTCCTACATGGTCAGCCATGGTTCAAGTCCTTGACCTGGCGGCTTGCTTTCTCACTTCCCCTCTCTTTCTCTATCCCTCCCTCTTTCTCTCTCTGGTCAAGTTTAAAAATAATACTAATAAATAAAATGAAATAAATATTTTTAAAAGCCCCATTCTTTGCCTCAACCATATATACTGGGGTGAATTAGAAACACCAAATAATAGTTTTGCTTTAAATGAACCTCGGGAATCATCCTTTCCTTCGTAGGTGATGTGCTTAGCTTTTTCAGTGCAGAATACCTGCAGGTTCAGCTGTCTATGGAGTTGAATTTTGCTTCTAGACATGAGCAGGACCCACCTGACCGTGGGAGAGGACTTCTCGAGTGATGCTGTCCCTTTCAATTTGAGACACTTACCCCTTGGCCTTTTTGCCCAGCAAGTAACCATGTGTCTTTCCTACATAAATAACTGTTTCCTCTTTCTTCTTGGCCACTCTGTGTGTGTGTGTGTGTCTGCAATCAGAGGCAACAGCTGGGAACCGCTGTGGAGATGGAAATTGCCCAGATGCTGGAAGAGAACTCAAGGATTCTCAAGTTTGGTTACCAGTTTACCAAGCAAGGGCCACGAACAAGGGTGGCAGCTGCCATCACAAAGAATAATGACCTGGGTAAGACAACAGTAATCTGTGCTGTTAACCGCTAGAGAAGTAGGAGAGCATTCATTTTTCCACTTTTGATACATCTCACAGACACCATCCTGCTGGCCTTTGGCACTTCTCGGTCTCCCATCAAAAGCACAGTAGTGGTTAAGGCGCTGGACATTCCCACGTGGCTGACCACGGTTCAAGTCACGGACCTGGTGGATTGCTTTCTCTGTGTGTGTGTGTATGTGTGTGTGTGTTTCTGGTCAAATTAAAATGAAATTTAAAATAAAATGAATGGATAAACATGAATAAAATAATTTTTTTTTAAAGCATAGTATTATGTGATCATAGGCCTCCTTGTGGTCCTCAGGGCTTCACTGAACATTTTCTCAAAAAGAACTGTTCACTCTTTTTCCCAGCCTGCCTTTTATTTTTGCATGGTTTCCCTGCAGCAGCAGCTGCTTATTTCTTACATGTACTCCCTCCGTTGTTATCTGCCCCAGAAGGTGGATATAGGGATATTCCCGGTTTACCTGTGCTAGTCCTTTGTGCTTTGGTTCTTAGGTTTAATTTTATGTCCATATGACCCATTAATCTCACTCCTTGGAATTTACCCAAAATGTGGGAAAATACTTAGTTGGAAAAACACTTGAACATCCATTTATTGCAGCATTATTCACAATTGCTAAGACATGGAATCAACCTCAGTGCCCAAGAACTGATGGTGGGGTTGAAGAAATGTTTCATATGGACACTAGGGACTATTAGTCATAGGGAACAATGAAACCCTGTCATTGATACAAAGTGGGTGAATACAGAAGGTGTAATGCTAAGTAAAGTAAGGCATATTTTAGAAGACAAACACTGTATATCCCTGCTCAGCATATACCAATTATCTGCACTCAATGGCAGAACTTGAAAGATCTAAAGTAGAGAGGATGAGTGAAGATACCAGAGTCTGTGGGAGAGGAGTGGATAGTAGAGGGTAGGAGGGAGGAGGGCGGGGAGAAATTTTTTTTTTTTTTGAGAGGTTTTTGCTATAGGGTGCGTGCGCTCGCCAGACAGACAGAGAGAGACAGAGAGACAGAAAGCGAGAAATCACCCTCCAGGGAGGATGGCCACGCCGCAATCCCTTCTCCTCCATTCTCCTCTTGGGATCTTGGGCATGCACGCACATGCGCCCGGCGTGACTTTAAGCCACTCGGTCCGAGACTCAAACTGCAGTTGACTACATGGGATTCCAGGGACATAGCCATTATGCTAACTGCTGTTTCCCAGGGGAGAAATATTTAACAGACGGAAGAACAAAGTTTTCTGTTGAAAATTATGTGTATGGTAATATCCTTGATTTGATCATCACATACTATATGCATACTTTAAAACCCATACTGTGGGGGGCCAGCAGATGGCAGTGTTTACATTGCTGGACTCCCACATAGTCGGCTATGGTTCGAACCATCCAGACCTGGTGGCTTGAAATCACACCAGGTGCGTGTGCAGGCACGCCCAAAATCCCAGGAGGAAAATGGAGGAGAAGGGATTATAGTGTAGCCATTCCCCTGAAAGGTGATTTCTCACTTTCCCTCTCTCTCTTTCCCCCCCACACAAGCACACTTGCCCTAAGGCAAAAACCTTTCAAAAAGAAAAAAACCATGCTATGTGCTGTAAAGATGTACAATGATTAAATATGAATAAGAAGTAAAAAAGAGGGACTAGCAGGTGGCATGGTGGTTAAGGCGCTGGACTCCCACATGGCTCACTGTGGTTTGAATTCTGGACTGCGCAGCTTGAAAATCATGCTGGGCACATGTGTGTGCTTGTCCAAAATCCTAGGAGGAGAATGAAGAAGTGATTGAGGCATGGCCATTCCCCCGGGGGTAATTTCTAACTTTCCTTCACATTGTCTTTCTGTCTCTGTCCAGTGAGCACCTGTGTGCCCTGTGGCAAAAGCCTGTAAATAAATATACACAAAGAAGAAGACTAGACCACACACACACATTATCCAAATACTTCAATCATTTTTTAAAATGGGTATGTCTGGCATTTTGGTACATGACATGTGAAATAAACCAATGGAACTACGTTATGGATGTTAAACTCAGTTATGCCATCTTCAGTTTTTCCTGCTGCGACTTTCTGCTGAGGATCTGTGCCCTTTCTTCTGTCAGGATGAGATGGGATATGTCCTGTTCAACTACAGCACAAAGGATGAAACAAATTAGGAAGGTATTTCCTGACCTCCTCCCTCTTCTGAGGACATCTCAGTTACTATGACAAAGTGCCATCTGCGAGACAGTTCTTTTAGCAAGCACCCAGTCCACCAAGAGCAGGCTTCGGTCCCCAATTTGAGATCCAGGGACAGAATGCCAGACCTTAGACAGCAGAGCTGGACAAGGTGTTCCTCCACGAACACCGCTGGCCACAGGAGTCACATGCTAGACAGGACAGGAGGGACAAGGAAAGGTTCAGTTCTCTCCGCAGACATGCTGAGACAAGACCTTGAGGCCCAGCCAGGTGCAGTGTGTGACATCAGGAGGCTGACCAGGCATATGACGGTGCTTACCCGTGGAGTGCACAGGGGAGGCCGAGGAAAACCCAGCTTTAGGAAGAGTGGAGGCAGAAGTCAGAAAACACCTAGAAAAGACCTAGTGGCTCTGCGACAACTCAAAGGCCAAAGAAAAACAGGGAGAATAAGGGGCTTGGAGTAAATGAGGGGTCGTCGTGAGCTGGAGAGTGGCAACGTGTGAAGATCAGCTTTGTCTGTTTCCCACAACCTGGGCAGGAGCAGGCTGGACTAGGTAAAGTGGAGAGCCAGGGCAGGACCACAGCCTGGGTGCTTTTTGGCCAAATCCGGGAACGTTCCAGTAGCGAGCAGAAGAGCCTGCAGGTGTGAAGTTGAACAGAGAAGAGGGTTGCAGACACTGGGCACCTGGTCGTCTGGGCAACTTCTTTATCCTAAGGAGCCGTTGGGGGGAACCTGATCTCTGGGTGTGCTTGCTATCTAATCACACCTTCCTTGAAGATTGATACCAGGTGTTTTCATCTAGAAGAGGTTTAGAAACTTTGACTTCTGTCTGCATCTCCTCCCGGTCTTCAAGCCAAGATCAGAAGTCATAGATGGTGATTATGTTAACCGGGGAATTTAAGCCAGTTCGTGGTTGAGATGTTCTAAACGACCATGGACATATTTAGAAGCTCACTATTTCATGCATCTATTCTGAACCTTCTATTCCACAGAAATAGAAACATTCTAGTATTTGAAGTTCCTATCAGACATAGCTTTATTGAAATGTAAATGACCACAGACACCAGGTTATTTGACCATTCCCATTTATTACCGTGCTTAATTGGGTAGTGAAATTTACTATTCTTGTTATCTTCATGTGTGAGGGATTGCTGTTTTGTGTGAGTAACGTTTGCTGGTCCAAATTGTAAGGAATTTTTTTCCTTCAGTTTGTCTTTTTCAAACTTTTCTTTCTTACCTAGTTCGTAAGAAAAGAGTTGAAGGAGACCAATGGTAAACTTTCACAGGAAGAGGTGAAGTTTCCCCACGGCAGCCACTGAAACACAGACAGAAGCCCTTCTTCTTCACCGGGACCATCGTATCAAAGGTTGTCCATTTCCGTTAACCACACGACCAATTATTTAATTGCTCTTCTTTCTTAGCACTACTTATTTATCTTGGATTTTAAAATATATATAGTTGTTTTATTTACTTGTGGGCACTTCTGGCAACTTGCACAAATGGTCTGAAGCAGGTTTGAGGCAGTGATAGCGATCAAAGTGATTTTAATCCCTTTCTTACTGGCTTGTCTTGCTTTCTAACATGAACTTTTTTTTTTTAATCACTGAAAGCAATTTAGTATAGCATATGTGTTTGTAACTGTGATTATAGTAGAGGCCTACCTCTGTTTACATGCATAGCTTTGAGTTAGGCTGAATTCATCGTGTTCTGCCGACCACACGAGAAGTTAGTATTGCCAATCTTTCACTGGGTAAGCAAATGGGACCGAGGTAGCACAAATTCTCCCTGAGCTCCAAAACAATCGCTAACTGTACATGCCCTACCGATTGGAGATCTGTGTTGTCTTCAGAAAACAAGACAACATTATGACACTGTAACACAGCCTTAGCAAATAAATAGAAAATATTTATTAGCCCATGAACATAGTGTCTAGCCAGACTCACAGGAGCGAAATGCACGAGCACACTGACCGTTCAACTTAAACTGGATCTTCAGCACGATTCTAATGGATAACTATTTACAGAGCTGTTTTGAAGTTTTCCAGACATGACAGAGAATTTTACATTTTTCTAAGAGGAAGGCTTTTAAAACAGTACATCCCTAAACAAAACAAGAATTAATCGTCCATTGGTTTCGGTTGTCTGATACACACGATTGCCTCTGTTTGGCAAAGTGTAGAAGCATTGCTTGCTTTACTGTTAGTGTACCGTGATTACAGGATGAAATGTGAACATTCCAGTTAATTACAGAGATTTCTCCCCGCACAGCACCATCCATCCAGACATTTGCAAACATCAGGGAAAGTGTGCGTATCATCACCATGCAGATGTTGGTCACCGAGACCAAAGCCTGTGGAAGTAGAACCGAGGTGAAGCTGTGTTGTAGGGTGCGTTCATCTCTCAATGCAGCAGTGCAGCGGTGGCCCGATAAACCGAGAAACAGGTGCCTGCGGCCTTCGGCTGGAGCCCTGCCGACTGCTTGGGCCTCTGCCGACTGCCAGCGCCCTGTGATTGGCAGGGAGCACTCAGACGCTGCCTGCACTGCCTCTCCCTCTCTGCCTCCCATCCCCCTCCCTTCCTTCCACCTCATTCTCTGTGGTTCTCAGCCTCTGATTGAAAACATCCTGGTGCTAGTGACTCTTAGAGCTGAAGAGATGGCCAAGCCAGGCTCCTGCTTGAGAGTCTAATCCTCAGTTGGTTTAGTAACCGAGTGTTCCTGAGTTGCTTGGTAACAGTAAAACAAGTTAATGGGAAAATAATGACTCTATTATTCGGTTTAGCTTGTAAAGCACATGGAATCTGTTTAGGGTAGCCCTTATAAAATTAGACATGTATCTGTATTGTAAGTACCCACATCTGTGTCTCTAACGTCCTCGGAGACATCTCATTTTCTTGACAATTTCTTTTATATTGTTTGGGAGCACAAGCAGCAGAACGTTCTGACATTTTTGGAGGTCTAAAAGTCCTTTAACTCATTTACTATCATATCTCCCTAGCACTCTAGACAAACATAGTAAATACTATTTGTTGGTGTTCTGGGTTTCTTTTTCCTTCCCTCTCACCCATTTAGGTGTGGTATATTGGAGCCAATTAGAACAGACATGCTGATTGTTAGATTTTCAAAAATTTTGCAAACTGGTTGCTTAACAGAGCCATTATTAAAAATTAAATAGCACACACCATTTAACAAAGAAAAAAATAATAAATATTTTAAAATGCTACATGTTACTATTTTCTATGCTTTTGAGATTATCTAACTGTATTCTATTGTATCAGTATACAATGTATACAATGTTATTGTATCGGTAGGTGGAAATACTACCTAATAGTGTGCCGCCATTCTCTCTTTAGAATGTTCTGGAACTTCTTGTTAATAGCTTGGAATCGGCCACAGTGGGAGTATTTACTGCTGCAGAAATTAGGACAGTGTTCCAAATTGCTGGTTGGTAAACATTCATCTGCATACCACTGGGTGAAATATGTACTTTTTCTTTGTGTACCTATGTTTTGGTGACCGTGTTGCCAAAAGGAAGAACATTTCCTTGGTGTCTTTTCTTCCATCTCTTTGATTTCGTTACAGACTCGTTTAAGTGCTGAGTCTCTGAAATGGCCTTTTTCCTTTCTATTCTCATTCACTTCTTGCCTTCACCTCTAAGAAACCTTGGGTCCTTCAGAGTGTTCTAGGCCAGCCCCACAGTGCTGTGGACTGGAGGCTAAAGTAGTTGCTGAAAAACTGGCAGAAAGCAAGCAAGCAAAAAAAAAAGTCAGAAATGGATTATGGCTCTTCAAGCAGTAGTTGATAGTATTAAAGCAAGAAAATGGCACATTATCAAACATATAGCACTGTTATTAGCTTGCAAAATGCTTGGGTCATATGTAATAGAGTCTAGGAAATCAATTATTTATTACTAATCATTTCATCTTATTATTAAAGTAGCTTGAAAGGGTGGCATTTCTCTGAGTTGTCACATATTGAAGATAACTCTTCGAGACAAATGTACATTTTGGGGAGCTTATCGACCCTTTAATTAGCCAAGGACTTCATCTCCCCATCTCCCCAGAGTGTGTAAATGGGAGCTTTTTCATGATCATGGGCACAATTAATTCCTTACTACCCACCGTGATGGAGCATAATGTATATAATATTTTTATATGTATATGTTTTATCAGTGTTAGATATTTGGTAATATCTGGACAGCTGATAGAAGGGAGATAATCTCTCCCCAGGCCCCCGTCCCTTCCCCGTTTAAAGTTAAGCAGGTCCACACTAGGCATGGCACTGCTCACCTGGACTTGCAGGCTCCTTTCACCAACCCTTCTCATGGCATTTGTGGAAGATGACTTTTAAATAAATTCTGTCTAGAAATCATACAATTAGTCCAACACCACATCTCTTCAGTGGCCTGACGCGTGTAATGGAGGGTCCTTTGTCCTCATCAGCATGACTAAATCCCTCACTTTCATCTCTGGAGAGCATAATGTCCGTCAGTGGTGTGTGTGTGTGTGTGTGTGTGTGTGTGTGTGTGTGGTCGTCAAATATCTAACCAGGTATTTGGCTACATCTGGACAACTGATTGAAGGGAGACGCTGTCTCCAGGTCCCTGCTCCCTTGCCCTTTTTAGAGTTGCTCATGCCCCAGTTAGGTGTGAAAGGACTCCCTGGAGTTCGCAGTTTGTCGCCACCCACCCCCATTTCGGAGCCACATTACCAGTTGACTCTTAGGAAGGTGTGAGTAGCCTAGAAATCCTTTTATTGTCCCAGCACCAAATCCCATCAGCATGACTAAGCCCCCGCCTTCCCTCTCCTCCCCTCTTCGCAGGGCCCGTTGCATGCACATACGTGTGGTGCGGATACCAAGTACTCACGCCAGACGACTGAGTAAAGAGGGTCCCTCTCTCCCACCCCCACTTCCCTGGCCCCTTTAGAGTTGCTGCAGGCCCGGGTTAGAGAATCACTGCCCTGGAGGGTCCTGTGCAGCTCGCCCCTCACAGAGCACACCATTCGTCTTCCAGTAAAGCCCAAATCCATTTAAAACCTCAGAAATCTTCCAAGCCAGTTTCTCTACGAGAAGACTGGCACACCAGCCCCAAAGAACAGCTGCCTCTCTTCCGGATGGAAACAGCTCCCGGCAGGGCACCAGCGGAGGGAAACCAGTGTCCTTGGAATGACTGCCATGAGAACATTGCAGAGGTGCAGACGCGCCACCCTGAAGGCCAGTGTTAAACACCTGCCTGCTGGAACTCACGTGGCCGTTTGGGACTTACAAAAGCATTTGCAGGGACGGCCTTTCTCGTGCATGTGATGCACTCGAGCCCTCCCTGGGCATTGCAAAGGAGACAGAGGAAGGATGGGAAGCTTTGATGCATGTCATTGGATGTGTTTCTAGGCTTCGGAGTGCCCTTTTGCAAAGTCAGTACCATCCTTAGTCCAAGTCTGTGGGGGTCACCAAAGCTGAGCGGGGCAGGCGTCGTGAACGCTGGGTTCTGTGGTATGCCACCTGGGTGCAGTAGAACTGCTGGAGTCAGGCTTTAAGTCCTCCACCTCAAGCTTCTGTCTCCTCTTCCTTGACTGATGCAGTGGTAGCTGTTCTCATCTTAATGAGCAAAGAACTAAGAGAAAGTATCCTAGCTCTGCCTTCCATTGGTAATTTCTTTTTACTTTCCTTAATATCCTGGCTACTCAGCCCATCCTCAAAGCTGGCTGTGCCTGGGGCCAGCAGGTGGTGTGGTGGTTAAGGCGCTGGACACCCCCACATGGCTGACCAGGGTTCGAGTCCCAGACCTGGTGGCTTGCTTTCTCACTTTCCCTCTCTCTCTCTCTCTCTCTCTGGTCAAATTAAAAGTAAATGAATGAATGAATAAAATTAAAGAAATAATTCTTAAAAAAAAGGGGGGGGCTAGAGGATCCAGACACTTACAAAGAAAAGGTATGAGAATGTTGGGAGGGCCCAGGCTGAGCCCACTGAATGAATGAAAGTCACAAGACCAGGCCTCCTGGAACAGCATGGGAAAGAAAAGCACCCAGAACCTCAAGTATATATTCTATGTTTTCTTGCTCCCTGACTGCAAATACATCGGATCTTCCTTTGTGGCTCAGGAGCCCAGTAAAGTGAACTGGCTCACTGAGGTGGGGTAGGAGGCCGGAAACTAAACGTTTAAATTTGTCTCATGGCAGAACTGCCCTCTGCTTGACTTGACTTTCTTCCATCTGCCTCGAACAGCAGTGACCTAAAGGGCCTGTAGATGGTGGAGGAGGAGTTGTAAGTTTCCAATCGTAGCCTGACTCCAGGTCACTACATGTAGCAGTGGTCATGCCAGGTTAGGACTCATTGTTGACTCCAGGGAGAGGGA